GAAAGTGATGATTCTGATCCAATGTCCATTTTAGAATGTATGAAAAGACATGATTGTGAGGAGTGGAAGAAGACCATTGAAATTGAATTACTCTCCCTAAATAAAAGAAATGCTTTTGGACCTATAGTCCTAATTTAGAAAAAATATAAACTTAAATGTTTTCTTAATCGGTGTAAACAAAGCTAAAACGACACTAAAATACAACAGATGAAGTATATAAAAAAGTGTAAGGATAAAGATTAAAAAAAATTTAGAAAGTTAAAATCCTAATTTAGACTAGAAAACTAAGCAAGAAATTATCAAATATTTTGTCACAACTGGTAAAAATATAACTAATAAAAATATTTTTAAATAAGACATATTCAAACAAAATAGTATACAGTAGGTATAAATTAAAAACTTAACAAATTTCAGAGATATGTGGAGATTAGTGGTACAGAAGAAAAAAAAATTGCATTCCTTATTTGCAAGGTAATTAGAAAGTTATATTCTTAATTTATAGCAGAAAACTAAAAAAAAAATTCGTCAAAACTGGAAAAATTATAACTAATAAAAATCTTCTTAAAAAATAAGGGGATACTCACAAAAAAAAAGTACATAATTGTTATAAAACTAAAAATTTAACAAATTCAAAATATATAATCCACGCGGAGCGCAGATAAAATCTTTAAAACTAAAACGGAAAGAAGAAATATTTAATAGTAATATAAATCATGGAACAAAATCATATATATAATGAGGGAGATTTTGCTTCTCCCTCAAGAAGCCTGATCAGCAGTCTTTACCCGTGTGGGCTTCACTAAAACTTGGTTGAAATTGATTTTAAAGCTATCTGCTTGCTTTGACCAAACACATCGTTTAAAGGGAAGGTCAAAACACAACGTTTAAAGTGAAGGAGATTATTAGGGTTTTCACCGTCTATCTTTGAGACGCATCTCCCCTTCTCCATCGAAATCATTTCATCTCCCTTACGATCAAACGAACCCCCCCCCCTATTGATTTCGTCCTCGCATCTCCTCACTTTTATTATTCACATTATTTTCATAATGGAAGCCCTTACTCTCCATTATCGTTATCTTGATGTTATCCATGGTCTTTTCGTTATCTACATCTTCAGCGTATATTAGGGTTTCAATCGGTTCAGTTTTCTCTGAAACACAGGTCTATATATGGTGCTCCGGTTCTTCACGCTGCCGTCCGCCACTTAATGTTTAACTCGCTCCGTCTTGGTAGCATTACTCAGTTTGTTGTCGGTGGCCTTGCGCTTTTGGGATTCCTATAACATTATAGGAATCACGGTTCTTTTCCTAGATGAAAAGGTAACTAGATCTTTCTTCTATCACAATTGATCTGTTGCTTCTCTTCTCTTATCATTTCTCTAATTCTGCCTCATATGTCTCAAGTCTAAATCTGCAAGATTCCATGACTCATGAGTTCAGTTCATCCCGCTGGTCGTGCCAATCACTACCATTCCTCATTGGTTGCTGGTTCGATTGTGAAAGTCAATCGGTTTTGCACCTTCCAATCACATGTACAAGATAGCTGAGCATCAACACGTCATTCCTTTCATCCCATCAACAACTGTTGTGGAAGTCCGTACCGGTGCTCCTGTGATTAATCTTTAGAACTTCATGCTTCGCCAATATGACCACCTTCATGATGGTGCCAACACTAACTTAGAGCTCCGAGGTATGTTTTTATATTTCAACTTTGTTTACTTTATGTTTTTGAAATTTTAAGCTAGATTTCACCTTGCAGATGTAGTCGTCCAAATATGTTCCATCCAGAGCTCTGACCACGCCAACGATGCAGCAACGACTTGGGTTTTGGTACGTCTCCTCATTGACCCATAAGTAAACAACATAACATAATATATTTCCCATATTAACTTTATTACGTGACTATAATTATGTTTTTATATTTCCTACATCAGAACTGTGAATGTTTACTTACCTTTGTAGGACGAGTCTGCCTCAACTTTTAGAGGTCTTTTTTAATTCTGGGGATAAATCCTAGACTGTAATGGATGTCACTGCAGTGAATCCAAAGATTTTTGGAGGTTTGTGCATCTAAATTTGTGAATGAAACATGTTTGATGGTTATGATTATTAGACCACGTATGTACATTCCATATATGTTTCATTTTATACGCTTAAGTTTGATTCATTCTGATTTTTGCAGGGAATTTCTATCTGAACTCCCCACCAGCTACCAAAATTCTTTTTTGACAACACCCTTACGACCAAGTAAGTATTCATATTATTATGTTCTGCAACTGATATGTCTTATTATCTTATGCAAACATACCTACTCCATGCAGGCTAGGAGTTGCAACATCTGACATTTTCCCTTGTGTGGATACCATGAAAAGAATTAAAAAAGGAAGATGTGTCAATGGGAGATCTGAACACAATTATCTCCAACTACAATGAGCAGGTTTAAGCCAATCTTTGACTATATATTGTTTGTAATTCCTAACTTGAAAATAGAAGCATTAAATATCAAGTTTATTTTATCTTCTTAAATACAGGAATCTGATTTCTTCTATAAGACTAGGATTATTTATATCCGGAGAAAACATGCACTTCCCTTATGTGCAACAGATGTGTTTCAAACAACGTCACCGGTGTTATTAGGTGAGCATTCTATATCCTCTGAAATTAATAAAAATAAGAGTTCATTTTAATGTTCCAAAACATTTTTCTACCTTACTCTTAAGGTTCGTGTGAAGTCTTGCTATTGATAATGGAAAAGATAACACTACGTTTGTGGTATTCTACAAACAGATGACCAATCTCATCAAAAAGAAGTTATTGTTCTTTCTCTTGAAGAGGTTAATGTTAGCTACAACACTCCATTTACAATGCATTGAAAATTGTGATGTTTATTCTCAACGCATCTTAAAATACTGACATCCTGCAGATAACAACTGGTAGAGTAGTGGAAAGGAGGTCTTACCAAGCTGTCTTGAATAACTAGCTGGCAAAGAGTTCATGTTCCAAATTCGTGTTATTCCATATATGGGGGTATGGAGAAAGTGTTTTTTTTTTGCACATGTGTCTGTTGAATGGAGAACATCGAAAGTTTCAGTGTTATAAAAAAAATATAGCGTTGACGGGATTCTCGCTGATCAAAATGTTATCTCATTGCATTAAGAAATTATCACAGCGAAACATTAGAAAACGTATCCCCATTATCATCGTGGGTGTCTTTAACATCCACAATTTTCCACTTATAAGCTTATTTGGACCACATTTATGTTTTTTTTTTTTTGTTAACTTCCTATTTCGCTGAGTGACATCAAAGGAGACCATAATTTGAAAATAACAATATAAATTACTACATATTATGTGCAATGCCAACTTTTGCAGCTGTCAATGAGGAAAGCAAAGACGTCGAAGAAATCAGTGAGTTCGCCGTCATCCAGATGAGAAAAGGTAAGCAACTACAAATATTAAAGTTAAATAATAATCTATATATGTATTACTCCAAGAAAATCAAGATGAGAGACAGTAGGACAGCAAAGAATTTCAGAGATTCTTCCCAGCGAGTCGCTGACTCAGAAACAGCAAGTTCACCACCAACTATTCAATTTCATTCTTTATGAATTGAAGTTACATGCCCAAACAATCTATTATATTAAAAGAGAAGTCATGACTCAGTTCATGTGTGATTTTTTAGTTTGGACCATCCTTAGACATTTCATAAAATTTTACATAACATCATTATAATATCATTTCATATAGTTTTTATTTTAAATCTATTATATTAAAAGAGAAGTCATGACTCAGTTCATGTGTGATTTTTTAGTTTGGACCATCCTTAGACATTTCATAAAATTTTACATAACATCATTATAATATCATTTCATATAGTTTTTATTTTAAATATAAATAAATAGTTTTAAGAAAATTCTAACAAAATCTTTTAAAAGATCTTTTAGAATCTTTTCAAGATATAGTTTCAAAAATTATTTATTTAAAATTTTAATTATCATAAAATATAATTAAAGTTTTAATTCATTTTTATTTATAAACAAACAATTAAAATTATGTAAAATATTTTTAACAATATCCCAAAATTTTGTTTATGTATTATGTAGTTCAAACTTAATTTACTATTTACATATATTTCAAATCTAGAAATAAACAAATATATATATTAGTAATGTTACATAATAATATTTTTAAAAATTGTTAATAAAATACAAATTTATAAATTTTATATTAATAATATAATAAACCACATAAATATTATTATAAAATTAGATAGTATACACAATCAAATTATATTTATTTATTGATAAATTTTACTCCTTCCGTTTCTTAATATATGATGTGTTGGATCATTGCAAAGATTAAGGAATTTACATTTTTTTACAACAGTATTTTTACAGATATAATTTAAAATCATTCAACCAATTATTACAAAAAGTAAAATTTTATTGGTTGAATATTTTCCAATAAAGTTAAAATTAACCTTAAACTATACTTTAAATTTTTAAAACATCTTATATTTTGAAACAAAATAAATCTTCTATAACATCATCTAATTTAAAACGGAAAATGTATTATATATTTTCAAATATTTTTGTATTAAAATACCCGCACGGTTGTGCGGGTCGAGATTTAGTTCCGTATTAAACAAAGTAAGTTTAAATCCGACCTAATTATATACTTTAACTCCCGTATGCAATTCTTAAGCAAAATTTGTTTTTCTTAAAAAAAATCCTAAATAAAACACTAAAACGGCAATTACCAAAAACAACAAGAGAAAAATAAATAATAATCACTTCAGCACCAAACCTCTATCACTAAAATAATTTTTCTCTACCAAATCAAAAAACACAACATAACACATCATCACCATCAGAATTTTATATAGAACAACAATGAGAATTTTATATAGAACAACAATGACAACGATGCCCCTAGTGTAAATTAAGAACACCCTAAACGAAAAACTAGATACTGTAAATTAATATAACTCCTATGTAAAAAGATGTGAACTAATAAGACACTAAACGAAACGATAAATAATGTAAATTAATGTAATCCTGGATAAGAAAATGTAAATTAATAGCACCGGGAATAGTGTAAACACCGAAAACGATCTCTGATCCAAGGTCTGTTAAGAAATCAGACAAAAAGACTCTTATTCTCTCACATTTTGATGTTTACACTTTTCTTCTATTTAAATAATGGTTCATCGGTCTTCACTTTGGGAGCTGTTCGAGAAAGACATTACAGTTGTTCATGGTTCTGGCGTCAAGAAGGCCATGGTTCCACAGTTTCACCATAAACATTCTCCAGCACCTACACAAGTAGGTACCTTTTGTCAACAACGTCAAAAAAAACACAAATTCTTCTATGAAACACTTGTCAAATCAAAGGCATAGAGGAAATGAGAGTTCAATTACCAGATCAAATGCGGTGTTCGAACCATGATGGATCCATGCAATCTTGAGAACGCTTCACATGCCCATGGAATGTGACCATCTGCTAATACTCTGCAAATGGTCAAAATCCAGTGTCAAGGTAATGCTTAATCCTGAGATAATCTTTTATGAATGTTGTTTTTTTTTTATTAAAAGAACTCGTGCAGGAATATCCACAAACTATTACACATGTTACGCTAAATTTGTTTACAGTAAGACTCGACCTATATGTACTGAAGAGAGTTACGACATACCGCTGCTTCCTCACAAACGAGTTCCACATGTGCATCATCTGCTTCTCATCCTTAGTCACATCCACGAAATCGTCGAGCATCTGAAAGAAGCAAAGAAAGAAAAATTTCAAACTAGTGGATTAAAAAAATAGTTATGTGAAAAGGGAAAGGAATATGGAAGACTCGCTGCATATGCATCCCAACTCAAAGTTAAACGTAAGTACACTAAAGAGGTAAAAATGTTAAATTCTAAAGCATACCCTTCTATCTTCAAAATCAGCCACATCATCATCAACTTCATCTTCACTATCTCGGTCAGAAAGTACTTGTTCTAGAGCCATGGGCTGCGATAGTACACACAGTAGAAATCAAAATCAACTGCAATCTTCATAAGCAGGAGAGCTAAAGAAGAAATAGATCACCTGAGCTCGATGAGAGTGAAAGAACTCTCTCTTCTGAAGGAGGCTACGGCTGGAGGAGATTTAAAAACAATTGAAAAACTTAGCCACATATAATTTGGGGTGAGCAAGCTACCAGTATTAGTAGTAATATAACTAGGACAGAAAATCAAACATACTTCCTCAAGTCCGACCGTTCTATAGATAGCTTCCTCGTTTTTGCAAATTGCAACATCGTACTTCCAGCTATCGACTGCAAAGAATCTGGATCACCACATGATTGCACGTCTACAGGACTCGTGCCAAGAGGAACTCTTTGACCAGATGACTCAGCAACCCCAATTCTTTCGCAAAGCTTTCCAGGAGTTATTCGGCTCTTCTCACATCTAACAGAATGAGCATCTGAAAATAAACATTTAAAAGAACAGAGGCTTTCATGGGCATGATGGAGAAAGAAGCCAATACTACAAAAATCTAAGTAAGATTCATTACAATCAAACACATACCACCAGTCTTATCTAGCACCTCGCAGCCTAGTCCAAGATGATGCCCCTGCCCTGAGCTCCGTACTTGAGTCTTTTGCCTTTTACGTCTGCCTTTCTTTGAACTGTCATATATTTTCATGGTCTGTAAGACTGAAAGCACAATGCTAGTAAGATAAGTAAATACAGGATAATAGGCCAGATAACTTACGAGAAAAAGAATGTTTGCTGCTTCGGGTCAGTGCCGTCTTCATTAATCTGAGAAATAAAAATTGTGTAACTTTAACATTAAAAATGGAATTGCCACAGCCGAAAAGATCTATAGCGGAAAAACTAATGGACAAAAAGCGAAATAGGAGATGCTCTAACCTCGGAGATCATTGTCTCACTCTTGAGAGACACATTTACAGCCTGATATTCTTCACTTACCTAAAACCCAAGTCGAGCAGATTAGTGGCTACAAAAGTGCTGAGCAATAATAACTAACTAGTTATGAAGTTACAAACCCAAAACTCGAAATTGAAGAGATCATGGGTTGATGGCAAATGATATTTCAGGCCCTACAACATGATTGAGGAAAAAAAAAGATTGCATCACTAAAAAGACTAGTAACAACAGCTGTATCTTTGACTGAGAGGTGTGAACGAAATTGACGTTAGAGTCCACCTTCAAACTGACACATTTTACTAAGCAGAATGGACAAGAGAAGTCTTCAGTTACTGCAAGATACAAAGCAAACAAAATCCAAAATATTATTTTCAACAAGAATGATGATTAAAAAAAGGTTATTTACTTTATTTGTTAGTGATTATACAAAATTACCTTCGGTCCTCTGCAGTTTGTTATTATAGTATCTATAATTGAAAACCACATTCCGTGTTCTCAACCTATGCAATGAACGTGGAAAAGTGGTTTAGAGTCAACGTGAAGAGATGGACACTATATGTTGTAGGTAACACTTGCCATTAAAGAAAACGGAAAACTATAGATTAATGGAGGTAGCAAACAGGTCACTGGAGTTTATACAATTGCAACAAAAAAAAAAGAAAAAATAGATGAGCCAAGAAAGCGAAAAGGGGATTGTAGAGTAAACTCAAGTTACCTGATAATTTGTAACATTGATGAGGAAGAGATGTCATCAAACGAAAATGAACTATAAGGAGATTTTTCCGTTGTCCCAACCTCTTCTGCAGATATGGTGACTTGCACTTGCTGCGGTGAGCTCTTCAAACAACAAGTACAAGAAATATTAGATACTATAAAATAATATTTTCAGAATAACGGACGGATGTACAGCAAAGTGTGCGAAGTTACCGAGGTGAGGGGATTGCTGGGAACCTGAATCGAGACACACTTTCCCTCACTCATAGACTTTAACTGCAGAAATTGGACAAATTTTAACAGTAACGTTTTCATTTAAATGGTAAAAATTGTAAACTAACCACAGTCGCCTTAGCAATTACTTTCAATTTTATGTTTTCAAGTCAAATGAAAGAAGTTAAATCCAGAGTCCCCATTTCACTACAAGAGCATAACCTACTTAAACAGTCAATTAAAACAACGATTTAGAGAATATTACCTTTATGAAACAAGGCTGCATCTCAACAAGAGAGGCTGAGTCTACTTTCTGTCCCAAGTCCATGTTTGGAGACTTCTGCCACAACGAATAGAGCGATTGCAGAGATATCTTGCTCCATAAGCAATGTCCTCCTATATTTCCTGCCCCAAAAATTTAAAAACTCTTAAGAAAATTGCATCAGAGAAGAAATAGACTTTCAGGAACTCTTATACTCGAGTCACAACATCCTGATTCATTTTGTCATCAAGCAGACTGATACATTTGGAAATCGAGTGAGACATGGTGAAAGCATTATTGAGAAAGGTTCATGGATACATCTGAGAAAAAATAGTTAAGGCTTGATTAAGAGTAAACAACAGTCATTAGAAGTATATCCGTATGAATAATGAATGGGTCCTTCTATACTAGCACATGGCTTGTCATGTGAGAGGATAAGATCTTGCCTGATATTCTCTCAAACTTGTAACTGTTTCCTCAGTACAATCGTTATAATTCTACACTATGACATGGAAATATAAAGAATGCGGCCTTGCTTCATAAAGGCAGTATCAATGTGAAAAGGAAATACCTGAATGTATCTTGCCTGAATCAATGCCAAATTGAGAATTTTGCGCACCAGCTACAAGAAAGAAAATAATTTGATCAGTTTATCGTGACACTGTACATATATGAAAGTCAGTCAAATAAAATTTGTAGACATCCATTAATCTGACTCACCAAAGCTGATAAATAAGATAGCGAGAGATCCGGATTTTGCCTCCAACGCGAGTCTATTCATATCAGGGAGAAGAAAGTTGGCTTGTGCTTGACTAACTCCATCAACCCCTAGAACACCAGTAAGAATACATGCTCGACTGAACCTATATACTGCAGAATACTATAATTTAAGAATTTCCAAAAAAAAAAAAAAAAACTGTCAGCGGTGAACTGTTAAGTTATAATTGACATCAGATAAAGATCAATCCCAATGTGTCTGAGGTTCAAAAAAGCATACCTCTGCAACAGGCTTAGGAGAAACGAGTCTTGCCAACAGAATATAGAGTGGGAACAGCTTTTGAGTTTGTACCCCAGCATCTATAGTGCCGGAGAGGAACACAGTCATTTGGATTCTGCAGCGCAACAATAAATTGATTACCAAAGGGAAAAATCCCCAAAGCTTATAATGAATTATTGAGGTATAGCCTAATAACTAGACAAAAACTCATGAAAATGGTACCTCCTTTTATGTTTAGCTTCAATCTTATAATGCAAACATCTCTGAAGAAACAAGGGCTACAACGGAGAGAAAAGGGAAACGGTTAGGATGTACATAGCTCAAAAGTAAACCAATGTTTGTGATATGCCAACTGATCTGAGCTATGCTTTTAGTCAAATTTGGATCACTCTAGGGAAAGGTAAGAGGAGTAAAAGAAAAACATACATTCCTAATAGCACGGCGCTGGAGAATGTTGTAAAGTTCGACAGGCTTGCAATACGCAACCAAGCTCTCTTCAGCAGCAATCTCCTCCTCTTCAGACATAAGAACACGGGAGTCTTCATGGCACATCGAGTCTGTGCTTCTTGAACAACTGCGATTCATACACAAACCAAAATACAAAGAAAAAAAAAGAGCTCAATACTTCCACTCAGTGTCTAACTATCATACTAAAGTATTCACACTTAAAAAAAATAAATAAAAAATAAAGCGCGAGATTAATTGAAGAAACTGAAAAAGAACATACGAAGAGGCTTCAGGGGACACGAGAGGAATGCCTGGCATAATCACCCTACGAGATCATCACACATACCAAATGATTACTTCACCTTCAGCCTGCGAAGAGAAAACGGGCCATTAATCAAAACTCCTTAGCAGCAGCCATCAGATTTGAAAATTAGCTTCAACCAGAAGAGGTAAATTTGAACAGTGACCTTTGAGAATCCAGGAAAATTATATCTATCCGAATCTAGACGTAAATCTTCGAATTTGAGCAGATCGAATTGAAAGCAAAGGTGAAGATTAAGAAATAGAGATGAAACAGTGAACACGCAGAAATAAAAGAACCCTAATTTTCAGAAATATCTTGGACGACAACAACAACTTTTGAGAAGAGTGATTTGGGGGCAATAAAGACAAATAAATGTAAATAAATGAGAATTCGGCCAAAAAAAAAAAACTAGAACTTTGCACGAATTGCCAAATAATACATGTACATATGGGTTGGCCATGAAAACACTGTGCTTTTGTTGATTTTTTTAGTTTATTAAGAAACTTATGTTTGACTGACCATATTAACACGCCGTTAGCAGCAGAGTTAACAGATAATTTAGACGCTATTAAGTCCGACGTTTATTTTGACCGTTAATTATATACGACGTCGTTACGTCCGTTATATGATTAAAGACAAAGGAATGAGGCTACGTCGTTTTATGAAGCTTTGTTATTTTAAAAATTTGTTCTTCCACGGGATCGAACTCGTGCACTCGTGAGCATGGTAATGATTTCGCCACTGAGCTAGTGAGCTTTTCAATGTATATGCGAAGAGAGTTGTTTTTAAGATAAAAACTCCGAGTTTAATGAATTATAAAGAACGATGTCGTTTCTCTCATCTCTTGTATAAACCTAAAATCCCCAAATCGACGAACCCTAAATTCCCTAAAGTCGATTCTCTTCAATTTCGTCCTCAAATCATTAAGTTCGTGCCTTTTCCTGCTTCGAGTATTGCAAGATGGCTTCGAATTGTGATGATTCGTGTGTGAATACGATGGGTATTCGTGGTATTCCGGAGAAATGCGAATGTGGAAGAAGCACAGGGGTATACACATCAAAAACGAGGCAAAATCCAAGAAGAACTTTCTTTAGATGCCCAACATTTCGAAATGTAAGTGTTTTAATTTGATTATGGCTGGAATCGATTGGTTTAAGAAAGTGTTTGAACATATAGCTTAAATGGCTAGGTATTGAACATAAAGCTCAAACTGTCTGAAATGGATGTGTTGTATTTGTGTCTAGGATCACTTGTACAAATGGGTAGATGAAGCTGTCTATGAAGAGGTTCAGGATGCATTGCCAAAAGTTGAGTGCTTTACATCGGATCTTATGAAAATGAAAATGAAAATGAAAATGGAGATCGAAGGCACCAAAACTATTAATGAAGGATTGAAAGAATATGTGATGAAGGCAAGAAACGAACTTAAGAAGCTGAATGTGATAATGAAAGTGGGATTTGTGATGGTTCTCATTAGCATTGTGATATGTGTTGTGTTGATTATGCTTGAGAAAGGCAATAGGCACTACAAGAAAACAAAGCATTTACTAGGAAATTTTACTAGGAAAATGCTTCCTCGTAAATTTACTAAGCATTTACTAGGATCTTACGAGGAAAGCAAATTTCCTCGTAAGCTCCTCGAAAACTTACGAGGAAACACTTTCCTCGTAAGACCTTAGTAACTTTACGAGGAGCTTACGAGGAAAAAGTACTTTTCCTCG